CTTAGTGCTTGGAAAAAATCTTTCATTCCTTTAGAGACAGCATGAAAAGTCAGCTGAGTACAAAACATAGAGAGGAAAACAAGAAGAAAAGGGACAAGAAGAGAGGGACACAACCTAGAACAGATAATGGATGTCTATTCTATTAACATTTCTCTATCTGTAGAATGAGTCTCTTTTATGTCTTCTCAACTCAGAGGGGCCCCCTGCCTTTCTTTGCCTAAATCCGCCCCTGTCGGTAGCACTAGGTTTTGTGTGACCCATCAGATATTGTGACTCTAGGTGGCGCTACAAGCATTTTACCACAGACGTTTTTAGGTTTAATTATGAATCCTGTGACATTAGTTAGTAGATAGTAGTCAGAGGCAGAGCTGAAGAGGACGACCATGGCCAATCATTACACCCCCACCACCGTGCCCCCCTACCAGGTGATTTGTTCTTCCCCTATGGGTGTAATTCACCACATCTGGGATCTGCATTTCTCCTCTAAACCAGAAGGTGGCAGCAGTAATACCATCATCTGGAATATCCTGCTTTGACATTTTAAAATTAGTACCGGTATATTAAATCAAAAACTAAAAACGACAGTACAGCAACAAAATATTCAGAATATACTACAAATAAAAATGACTATTACAGAATTTTTGCTCTTTTACAAACAACTTTTTGGTTTTATGGAGTAAACTTTCTGTCTACAGTCTGTAATGTTTATTATACATAATTAAACCCACTGAACCAACTTAATGTCGAACCATGAATTAATTTAAGCAACTCCAATGTATAAATATCCTTATCAGCGAGGGCCTCATGAAAATCTGGTCTGTTCTCAGAGATATATTTGGAAAATATGGATGTTGTGCAGGTTTGTTTTTTTTTCTGTTGGTTTATCGCTTTCAGCTTAGATTAACTGAAAAAAGTTTTTGGTACCAATTTATTTTCAGTCACCCCTCAGTACACATCGGTCCCTGCCTCTCGTCTATTATGAGTCACAGATGATAGCGAAACCCCTGCCTCAGTCTTGGTCAAAGCTTTTTATTGTTGGGCCTCGAAAAAAAACAAAAAACAGATTTAGGTCAGTTTGAAAACCTTTAGTTTTTTGTTTTATGTATTTATTTTTGATCAGACGTGATTTTTGCCACAAATCCACACAAAAAATACTAAAACAAGTACAAAAAAAACAACTGAATGTGAATTAAAAGCAACTGAAATAAAGATGCATGCTGCCAAAAAAGGTTGTTAATTACAATGACTGCATGCAGCACCAGAATAGATTATTTCCTCTGTTTGACAAACTAACGCATTTGTGTCAGTCTTTTTTTTTTTCTTGCTCTGTTTGAACACCGCCAACAAGAAACTCATTATCATGGTTCAACTGGAGGTTCACTTCCTGTTCAAAGGGAGTTTTTCCTCTCCACTATTGCTACAAGCATGTTTAGTATGAGGGATTGCTGAAGAGTCAATGAGTCGATGCAATCAGCTGGTTTTGTCATGATTTTATCTAAAGATCTGACCCACATGCAGAAGACCAAACTGAGAGTAGGTTTATTGAGAGTAGTTTGAGAGGAGTCCAGTGCTGCTCTGAACACTGTCGAACCGGGAGTTTCCAAAAA